AGCGCTTCCAACAAATATTTGCCAAAACCTTGGCAGTACATTTGCCACTCTTGGCATGTTGCCACTGTTGGCATGTTGCCACTGCTGGCATGCTGCCCAACCTGACCTGGCCATGCTGTCCAAATGTAACTTGATGTTGCAAGCAGTTTTGCAAGGGCTTCAGAGCATGTTTTATTGGTGCTTGTCAAGAGGCCATATATAAGCCCAAGCATATTAGAGACAGCTGGCCATGTCCTTGACCGACCCTGTGAGAAAAGAGCTTGAGAAAGCTTTGCTGGACACTTCACAAGGCTTGCTTGGCCAATGGAGACATGTGTTGGATGTGCTGCTCTCCAACAATGTGGCATTCAAAGCCAAAGTCTCAGTGACCAGCTTGCTGGTCCACCCACAGAACAGAGGAGGAAGTGGCCTGCAACCTTTTGGTATGCACCATAAGGGGGCCAAGATAGTGCAATGTGGTGCCAGTTTGGATCAGCTGATTGGGTCAGTGCGCTTTGAAATGCACCCTTCAGAAGAGAACAGGAGCAAACAAATAGACTTCAACCGGCAGCTGGTTGCTTCTAGCAATGGGTTGATGTCACCCATTTTGGGTGGTGAAAGGTATGTGACAGTGTCTTCGACACACACATCCCAGTTTTGCAAAGCCCTGCTAAATGGCTGTAAGACACCAGAAGAGAGCCTCCAGGACAGCAATGGAAACTTGAGCTTGGAAATGCTTGGCAAAGACAGTGTGCTCAAACAGATGGCATCTGATGGCTGGGAGTGGATTGTCATTCCCTGGTACGTTGAAGATGCTTTCCCCAAGCTTCCAGGCACAATTGCTGATGCACTGAACAGTGTCAATGGCATCTTCGAAGCCCAAGGAGAACTAGAGCTTGCATTGACAATTGCCAATGCAGCTGTGGGGGCAGATGCCTTTGAGTGGGATGAGCTGGCTACTTCTTGCTGCACCTCTTCACAAGTGGCTGGCTATGCCAAGTGGATAGGCAAGTTGGTCAAGAACCTTGGTGGTGGCAAAGAGCAAGGCTACCCCTTGATCAAGTTTGCGCAAGAGTTTCAAAAGCAGTTTGGGAACTCCTGCTTTGTTGGCAAGGAATTCTTTGTCAACTTACTGGATGTCAACTTTGTGCCCACAAGCATGACCACTTTTGTGATCGAAACCTTCCCTGTCTCCTACACTCATGAGCAGAAGGTCAAATGGCTTGAGGATACTGAGAGGATCCATGGTGTCAGGAAAGACTGACTGGCTTTATATATTGGCACTCACTCCCAGAGCTTGGCCTGTCAACAGGAAAAAAGGTGCCTTTGGTTATGTGCAGTTTTTTGCCAGCGCTTCCAACAAATATTTGCCAAAACCTTGGCAGTACATTTGCCACTCTTGGCATGTTGCCACTGTTGGCATGTTGCCACTGCTGGCATGCTGCCCAACCTGACCTGGCCATGCTGTCCAAATGTAACTTGATGTTGCAA